TCGATACTTTGCCTGTTTTATATATTTTTTACGTTAAATTAAATTCCCCATAAACGAATAAAAATCCACGGTATATCGGTCGCAATATCGCAGCAGGTCGTGCAGTATTTAACCTACATCTATAAAACATATGGAATTCGATCGAAACTGAGTCAACATCGTGTTCAACTTATACGCTGATATTCGCTTAAAGGAATTCACATCTATCTGACCAGTGAATTTTAAATTTGGCTAAACGATTCGTATCTTGCAATCTATCTGACTCCCAGTCCCATTTAACCATTTAATTACCACTCTGTTATACTTCACTATTATTACTATTTTTTGTATTCTTCTGTTAAATTAAATGTCCCATAAATGAATAAAAATCCGCGGTAAGGTGTTCGCTATGTCGCAGGAGGTCATGGCGACTATTTGTCCCGGCTCTGTGAAGCATCTGGGACTAGACGAGATCTCGGGTGACCTACTGCTCCTTTCCTGACAACGCCGCGATTACACAGCGGACACATTATTTATCCGGCTCTTCTTTTGTCGTCGATGCTTTTCGTTCGTGCTTTCTCACCCGTTATACTTCCCAGGCTTCTTCACAGACTTCTGCCCCATCGGTTTCATCGATCACGCGTTGCTCCTCATCTCGCTGGGAACATTCTTTTTTCTCCATCACTCGTCGATCAGCCGTGATCCAGGTGATCCGAAGACTCAAAAGTATTAGGATAGGCAACGCCATCCGAAGCGTACACTTGATTACGTTCGAACCTACTTTTGGCGGTGTCACAGATCTTCTCGACGCTGTCATAAATATCACGAACCTCCCTAACCGTGCAACCACCGTTATGAAGAATCCTCAGATCTGAAACGATCAAGGTCCTAGTAATATCGGATACAATGAAAGCTTCTTTATGGAATACGTAACATACGTAGTTGTTAGGTTTCGTATAATTATTTCTGTTCCTATTTACCAGCGTTAAGCTGTCACAGACAGTTCGACTGAGCCGCGTTTTCATAGGTCAAACTGTTACTCGCGCAGACATGGTCGGAACCGTACGATGAGGTCTCGTAGCTATAACAGCGATCCATAACTTTGCAAGGACCCTTTGAAGCTACTGTTACATCTAAAATAATGTTACATTAATTTTAACTTTTTACAATTTCAGTTGCACCGCAAACCTAGTCGAAACCTAACCAAGACAAGCTCATCCTACCATCTGGGTGAACGTTCTTTTTTTCTCGATCAGCTATCGATCAGTCGTGATCTAGGCGATCTATCGGAGGATATTTTCTCCGATAAATCGTCAGAGGAAACTATTCCACGAGGATAGAAAGATGTAAGATCGGTGTCTGTTTCATGGGACAAATTCCTTTCCCTTTTTGCTCTGGTCTTTAGCTCTTGGCTCTTGGCTTCCGGCTATCCGAGACTTCCGATACCCGTTTCCCAATCAGGTTTTGTCTTCTCGATCGCCTGGCATCCAGGAAGTCGACGTGGCTCTGAGTTACTTCGCGTAATCGGTTCTATAATCGTTCGTTTCCTGGCTCTCAGTCCTTTCTAAGCAGAAATCTCCGCGCTTACGAAAGATTAGCGCGAAACCACGATTAATTACTATGTTTAGTACAAAGTCGATTCGATAACTGGAAATTAGTTTTCGTTGTTGGTTAAACGTTCACACGGGTCCAAGTTTTGTGAGAGAAATTTGCTAGTAGCTGTGTGCAAAATTTCACTGTGTACAAAACGTAGAAAGGACAACTCTGTGACAAGATCTATTATAGAGTCTATCAAGTTTTATGAGATGTGTCTTTCCATTCAGATGCGTTTTTCTGATCAAATCAATCGGAAAACGGTGGAACATTGGATCGAAGGAAGGCTTTCTGAAGTCATCGTTCGAATATAATTACAAATTACGCGACAGGCTATTTATTCGCCGACAAAGGAACATTGTAAACAGCTTAATCGTCCGAGCAATTCCATCCTGTCCGATCGTAAACTTAATCGTTCGCCTATTAACATGTAAAACGCGAGGAATAAAAGAACAAATATCAGAGGAAACCTTATTCCAGAATCTGTTTTCCATTTTCCCGTTCTACTTTCTTGTTTCTTTTTTCTTTTCTGTTTTCATATCCACCGTTTGACTGCCTGGAAGCAAAAATAGCAATAGTCGACCGCAAAGGCACAATTAACAGCACTTGAGAGACATACCTAAATGGGTAAAGTTCGGAAAGCAGGTCACCTCTTCCCCTGATCGCGTGCAGACAATTCGCAAACTCATTTTTCTCGGGAAGAATCTCTGCCACGATAATTCCAACCTGATAGAACACGTGGTTCTGTTTGCAGAAACGTGATTCAACGATGGAAAATTCGATAGGAATATTCGTACGAAAAAAAAAGAGCGTAAAGGTACAGGGAATAACCCTGGCCAAATGTAAACCTGTGAAATCATAGTGTAGCTTTTTCACACGGATATCCATGTGTATACGTGTGAAGAGATGTTTAAGTTATAATAGCACATAGGTGTTCGTAGTAGCTCTATCTCCCTTATCCATATATTTTTTAACACGTTATTGCATTACTATAGATCATCCATATATTTTTTAACACGTTATTTATTACTATAGATCATCCATATATTTTTTAACATATTATTTATTACTATATATTATCCATATATTTTTAATACGTTATTGTATTATTATGTATTGTTTATATTATCCATTTTCCTTATCCATATGTAATTCAATACCTTATTGCATTACTATATATTAGCCACATATTTTTTAACACGTTATTACATTACTATATATAATTTATATTATCTATCTCCCTTATCCTTATATAATTTGATACGTTATTGTATTAGTATATATTATCCATATATTTTTTAACACGTTATTTTATTACTATATATCATCCATATATTCTTTAACACATTATTATATTACTATATATTATTTATATTATCTACCTCCCTTGTCCATATGTAACTTGATATTATTGTATTACTATATATTATCCATATATTTTTTAGTACGTTATTGTATTACTATATATCATCCATATATTTTTTAATACGTTATTGGATTACTATATATTAATTATATTATTCATCTTCTTTATCAATATATAATTTGATACGTTATTGTATTACTATATATTATCCATATATTTTTTAATACGTTATTCTATTACTATAAATTATCCATATATTTTTAATATGTTATTGTATCACTATATATCATCCATATATTTTTTAACACATTATTATATTACTATATATTATTTATATTATCTATTTCCCTTATCTCTATATAGTTCAATACGTTATTGCATTACTTTATATTATCCATATATTTTTTGACACGTTACGATATTGCCATATATTATCCATATATTTTTAACACGTCATTGCATTGCCATATATTATTTATAAAAACATTTTTTCATTCATAAATACATTCTAGCAAAATACATATATCTATATATAAGAAATCTACTGAATCTTATGAACTTCGTGTGTGCAAAGCCAAGTTCGACGAAGTTACAGGTACGTGCGGCTGTCAGAAAATATTATCAAACCAAATCAATTTCCGGGCTGTGTAGCCAAGGTTATATAAATAATACCAGTCACGCAAAAAATGCAGACAGGTCGAACGATGATTGTACTTGCCATTGGACTGCGCAGTTTATGCATTAATGCGAATTTTGGAAATGCGAAAATCTACACACACAAATAATGCAAACATACGCACAATTCAAACACCATACAAATAATTATGAAAATGAATTGTTGAACAATCGTTACATTTATACGATATAATTATTATTAATTACGAATACGAATAATTTATGAATATGTATAAAATAGCGGTACAGTCTCTGTGATATAATTATTATTACGCTACATATATAATATAATCGTTTCCATAGTGTTTAACATTTAATAAGCAAGACAGTTTCCTATCTATTTAATTTCTATTCGTTTAATTCTATTAAACTATATTTAGAGAAATTTGGAAATTCGTGGCTGTGTTGTCAGTTTAAAAGTAGAGGATTCAGAGATTGATAAAGTTTAATTGGAAAACGGGTCAAGAACAGATACACGAAATGACGACTTGCAATGGCCTAGTAAAGCTCGATGATCACGCTAATTCTCTGGCATGTTAATTGATCTAGTTCGAATGTAGCAACGGGTTAACGTGTAACGTTTCATTCGCAATTTCTTGTTCGATCGGCTGCAAAATTTATCTCTTAACATTATAACTATGCAATGGAATTCCAAGGATTCTTTGTACTTGATAGTTTAAACTTACAAACTTAATAGCCTTTTCATCGACAGTTCTTCTTCCATGCAAGTTCTACAATTTTATAAAATTTAGAGAAATTATCTGCCAACTATGATACATGTTGATCCAGCTCAGCAACATTTAAGGAAATCTAATAAAGAACACTGTTCAATTACCAGCAGAATTGCACTGATTGTTTAATACGAATCGAAGGAGAACGCTATGAAATTCATAGAATATTGAAAAATGTTTAATATCAAAGATTGGCATTTTTTCATATCTTCCTAACGTCTTGGAAAAATGACGAATAAATTATCCTGCGATGATTACATATCTTTTGACGAACAAAGCTGTTTCTATTCATTTCAAGATATCTTAATAGATAAAGTGAAAAAATATTCCCATCTGAAGCTGGTTAAATGTTCTTCGCGGAAATGAACCAAACTCCTAAATCAATTGTCAGTAACAATTCTTGCTTAATATTTTTGTCAGCCCTATATAACGTATACATTATACAATATATGGTATAACGCCATATTACTTGTTATATGTATGTAATAAATAATAACAATATATATAATAAATAATAAAGAAAGCTGATATCTCTCCTTGTAACATCATAATCGTAGAGATTTTCTTGTAAATGAAAAACACGCTATATTTGATTCCACTTGAAATATAAATCACCGCACATGTGTAGTAAATAATCTTACAAATTTTATTCACAGGAAACATCAAGCGTATACGATGAATAATGAAACAACGAAGATTCAGCAGTATGGACACGTGTCAGTTAAACGAGGAGCCAGAAGATTACACGAAGAATCCTTCGAGCGGATGCCTCATGGACATCCACGGCGGCAAAAATGAAGTAAGACATGCGTTTAAGGCAGTTAAAACGTCCCGCTGTTCTGCTTAAAAGGCGAGTGAAAGAGAGATAAAAATGTGCACGCGAGCCGAATGACATCAGCCGTGAATAAAATATTAGGATACGATGGCTGTGCTGCTTCGACAGCTATCTGCCTGCTCGTCGATAACTTTCGACAACGAATTCTCGAAGGAAATTCTGCCTGATCCATACAGCTGGCCATTTTGTCCCCGGAGGTGCTATTATAGCGATATCTTCCGTTTCAATTCGTACCGGCGCTTTATACCAATTTATTTTCTGTACAGGTGACCGAGAAGATGAAGAGTATTGGATGGACGAGTAGTACATGGGAGGAGGTTCCAGCTATTTTCTCGAAGAAGAGCCACCAGAGGCGAGTGATTCATCCTCGATGACGCAAGATGAACGAAACGTGGATTAATCGCGTGAAACTGCTAGCAAGGTCCGTCGTAGACAAGCGTCAAATCTGCCGAAAAGAATATTTCGTATGATAAATAATTACGAGGTTTCTTCGATGACTGATTTCAGTTTAAAACGCAGAGCATTGAATATTCCGCCTTAACCCCTGAAAGCTGTCATCAAGGAAAATCGTCTGCTTGTTCCTCTCGTTTTAAGAATCGATAAAATCGAGAAGATGTAAGTAATTAATTAGCGTTCTAGTATGATTGGATATTAGGATAAAGAATAGAAAAATTATCGCCCGTGATGGTCTCGTTATAGGATGGTAATATTGGAAGGAAATTTATATGAAATTTCGCTCATGATAGCCTTTAGGGTTTGAAGTTTGTAAAGACCAAGCAAGATTAGCTCACTTTTATCTGGAAACTTCAATTTCGCGCACCATAAAGCCTCTGGGCTCACGTACGACAAGTTATCGCTTCCACACACCGGAAATCGGAGACTTTCCTCGGGTATGGATCTGCAGGGGTTGTCGTCGGGGTCGACGCAGGCTCCAGAATGCTTCAGGGACAAATCTGCGAAAGAAAAATGAAGTAACAGTGCTTGTCTACTTGGAAATCTTTTGCGCGTATATTGTACGTGTTATGTAAAACGTTTTGAAAATTCATCGCCAGTGTAGTGAGACACGACTATCGTGATTACGCTGGTAAAGTTTAAAACAAACCTGAAAATGTATCTATAGAAGCTACAAAATGTTTGGTACAAGTATATATCTCGCAGAAGTGACAAAAGCTTTAAACAATTGATCCTTCATTGTATCAAGTTATTTGAAAAGTTCGTGGCGCTTTTATTAGAAATTTCTGTTAAATAATGAAACGCACGAACAAGCATGTACTACTTTTAATTGGATATGACAAAGCAGTGATTTTCAACCGGTGTGCCGCAAAAAGTTCTAAAATAAGCAACACCTGATTTAGACAGGTGCAGTGACCTGTTTTCCTTTAGACTTTAGACTGTCAAATACAAACAACAGACGTTCGACCGTCAATACCTTGTCTTGAAGCGTATTACGAGATGTAAATGATTGGAAATCGCTGCCATAGACAATTAAGGAGAAACATTGAATATTTGATAATAGACTGAATAAGTAGTCTAGCTAAATAAGGTCTTCCCAAGACAGCACTGACATTTATTTTGATTGTTGTGGCATTGTAAGTGATGGATACTTTGGTAGGTAACGCCATCGTTTCCGCAAACCTCGTCCTTTGCACTGAAGGTCTTAGCAGAGGATTTGAGATGAGCACACGAGAACTGCGTGTTCTTCTCGCACTCGTTATCTGATACCAACGTCTTCAAATCTGAAAAACAAATTAGGAAAGGCCCGTGAAGTCTGAGATCATTTATCTTCTCAACTTTAATCTCACGAAACTTTACAAAAAGAGAATACAATATGTAATAGAGCGTGGATCTTTATGCGTTTCATACGAGAAATTTAAGGATGTATAAAAATGAACAAAATGCATATAATACATATACGTTGAGTTAAGTAATAAGTTCATTAAAAATTGTTTGAAAAGTATAAAGGTACCTGAAATGTACCTGAATTTTTTAACGAAAAGTATATGTTTACAGAGAAATAACATAAATAAGTTACTTCTTAATTAGATAGAATACTTGATATGCTCTTTTTAAAAAAACTAAACGAACTTATTACTCGATCTGATAGAAATATATACGATATAAGAATAAAGAATACTAGCCACGAAAACTTGATAACACAACTTACCACGAGCTTTGTAACACAAAAACTTAAAAGGATTATGATATGTAACGCCATCTGAAGTACACACTGGATTCCATTCGAACCTACTATTGGCAATGTCACAGATCTTTTCGACGCTGTCATAAATATCATAAACCTCCCTAACCGTGCAACTACCGTTATGAAGAATCCTCAGATCTGAAACGATCAAGATCCTAGTAATATCGGATACAATGAAAGCTTCTTTATGACATATGTAACATATGTAGTTGTTAGGTTTCGTATAATTATTTCTGTTTCTATTTACCAACGTTAATCTGTCGGAGACAGTTCACCTGAGCCGCGTTTCCATAGGTCAAACCATTATTCGCGCAGACACCGTTGGAACCGTACGATAAGGTCTTGTAGCTATAACAGCGATCCATAACTTTGCAAGGACCGCTTAAAACTACTGTTACATCTAAAATAATATTACATTAATTTTAACGTTTTACTGCTTCGGATCAGAGCCGAACGAAGCTGTTACAGTCTTAAAATAATTGCCACATTAATGAATTATGCAATTGAATGGATGTTTTGCTGAATTATATCTGAAGCATCTTTTCATTTTGCCGCATTTGAACTGGTTCCGTATTTTCCAAATTTAAAGTCATCGACTGACACAAACGCTGACTAACTGTATATTGGATAGTTAAAGAAAATTTGATAAATTTGTCTCAGAATCCGCTATCGTTTATGCGTTCTTCCTGTAATAAATAAATTCGCGTTGACTTTTTTTGTCAGATTCGTGTAAGAATGTCAGAAAACTATTCTTTCATAATGACCAATAACGAGGTCTTATTTTACTATAAATCGTCTTAACACCGACAACGAGTTAACGTTTTACAATTTCAGTTATACCGCAAACCTAGTTGAAACCTAACGAGAACAAGCTCAAGCTAAATTCTAATATTGCATTAGATCCACGGTGGACCTGGTCAACGAAACTCAGAGGGACAGTAGTCTCTGGAAACGTTGCTCATGTTCGCGGAATTCTACTAACTCGAAGATAAGGGATTTTTAGTTTGCATTGTTAGGAGAGTCGGCGACCAGACGACAAAATGTAACAATACCCGCGGACATTAGTGGGTAACAACGAGCCAGAGTTTGCAAGCTGGAATTCTGGTCTCGCGAACCTCTCTCAGTCCGACTGGTCAACTAAATTTCTCCAGCCAGCCAACTTTTGCTAACTTTAATCCGTATTAACGGCACGGTAAATATACTCAGAATTTGTCTTGCTTACTCTGCGAACGATTGTAATTAACGCATGAAAGTGATTCCAGGTTCGTGTACGTGTGCCCATCCGATCCACAGATCGGCCGATAAAACAGATTTATCTTGCAGTAATCATCCACCGGTAAACAATATCCAGAATGCATTGGTATCACTGAAAAGGAATTTTCGTTCATTAAAGTACGAATGTATGAAGGTAAATATTATTCTTAACGTAAGTTATGAATCATTTTTATTAATTTCATTAGATTTATTCTCAAATACCACATGATCCGAGGTATGTCTCTCGGTAATCAGCAGTTAAATTGAATCTTATAATTAGATTGCGGATTTTTACGCTTTTATGGGAAATTTAAAGATGCACAAATGTATATACATAATGAAAGTATGAATTTGTATAAATATCCGCATTCTACTTGTAATTTACGATCGAAGATCTCACAGGAAAATATGATAATTTTCTAACTCTTACGTCACTTGGTGATTGGCAAAAAGTATATTAACATGAAATAATTTAAGAAAGAAATAATCTGGTAGATTTGAAGATATAAGGCTTTTGATAAATCCACAGAAACGAATAATATTAGCTTAGTTAGTATATGAACTTAATTTAATTAGTATTAATCCGCATAATAGAATCTATTATCAATATTTATATCATTAATTGGTATACTATTATAATACTATTTAAGAGAATGATATAAAACACATTGAATTTATAAAATACAGAAAATGTAACTTATATATCATGTTCTTCAGATGTGGTCTTCAGTTCAAAGCAGTAATATAAATACAATTTATTTATATGTTCAAACTTTTATTCTTTATTAGAATATCTGAGGAGTGCTCTAAGAAATTAACATGTTCCTATATTACTATAGTTAAGGAATAACGTTGCCAGGACATATATACATAGTACATACAGTATACGTCAAGAAAATTGCAAGAAAAGAAGGCTAACGAAGTTTGAATAATTTCACCATGCAGCTAGGATATACGGTATTGTTCGTTGAATTAGGCGGCTTCCGGCCAAGTATAGTGAGAAACATGGTATTCCATAGAATTAAAAATTCATGTACGCCCCGCGTACGTGCTTCGTGAATGTTTAAGTATGCCGTGACCTAAACTCGCGTAATTGTACGAAGCATGGAAGCTTAGAATTGCAAAGAGGGAAATTTCATTGTTACTCACCGTTCTGAAATGTCTGATAGTTAACGCAGTCCAGGTATAAATCGTTGGCATAAGTAATGCCATCACTACCACATACTGGACCATCATACAAATCTACGTTATTAAAAATTTCGCAATTTTGGTAAAAAATTCGCTTGTTCGCCAATATAAAAGTCCACCCTCTTCTACAGATCAGTGTGAAACCTAAAAATCGACATTACGTGAAATGTAATAAACTGTCAATAATGAGGTAAATATTCCTCTTTTACCGAAAAAGAATAAAAAGTACTTCATGGTAGGCGTAGGTATAAGTACATACTTTAAAGTTATTTTATGAACCGTATTTTATACGAGATATAATCGCTATATCTTAAGGATGACGTATTAAAGTAGATTATTTTTCATTTCTCTCTACAAGGTTTTTTATTCAGCACGTGCTTTTATTGTCAATATTTTCTCGTTTAATCAGAATGGAACGCAACTGCAATTATCTTATCAACGTGGTTTGCATGCTTCACTATGATGCGTTATCAATCGAGAAAACAATTTATGACAGCGTGATTTTGATAGACGAAAAGATACATAAAAAACTATTACAATGTTTCCTTTTATGCATAGGTACATATTTATGAAATACATATTTAAAATTACAAGTTGTATAATAGATTCAAATAAACCGCCATTTAGTAGGTAATTACCATTCCTACTATATCGTTGGAAGATCTAATAGATTACCGACTGTACAATTTTCTTAATAAAAAATTTTATGGTAAACGATTTCTGTTTTATCGACAGTTCAGTAACGATACATCATGAAGATATAAGATAAGGGTTTGACACATCATATAATGTCTCACTAAACTCATGATCAAATATTCAAGTCTTTTGATAAACTTAACACGTATGCAAAAGTTATCACGGAGGTTATTATAAGATTCGATAGTACAATTAATTTGAACAATCCGTTTGACGCTAAATATATCTGATTAATTACTGCAACTGTGTGCAGGAACCTTTAGATCAACGCCATTTTTAGGAGGTGTAGGTTGTGTGGTGGAAGAAAAGTTGGGCCACGTAGTTACTTTATGGGAGAAGATTTAAATTTCATATTTGTATTATTAGACTCGAATTTATTCAATATTGTAAATACAAGTTGTACAGTGCAAAATGGTACGTATTTTAGGAACGAAGATAACGTAATTTAGTTAATTTTTCATTCGCTCCTGTGTACATGTTTGCGCTTAACTATTGTGACAGTGACGAACAATTGGATCATTATAACTATTTTTTCTAATAAATGATTATTATAAGATGCTTCCAATAAAGATACGCTCGATTTAAATATGTTTGATGATAAATTGTCTCACTCTTTTTTTTCTCTATTTGCTTCTTTCATTTTGGACAGCTGGCCACTTACGTGAACATTTATTATAAATAATAAAAAATCTACATTAAGAAATATGATATATAATTGCTCTTAATGTAATATGTATGTTGTTTATGTAATACCTTTAATGTAAATGTCCTTATATCCTGTACAGGTTACATTCATATCATCAACATGAGTTTCATCGACTTTGTTTTCAAACTTTGTTAATTCAGAACTTTTCTATCCCAACTTTAATCAACAACAGTACTAAGTAATAATAATATTAGCTATATGCATTTACAAATTTGTATGTTGGTTATTGTCATTATTAGTTATTGTCAATTAATCTTGCTATTAATAAAAAATAGCATTGATGAATTGTAGTCAACAAGAGTAATATTAATAAAACCAATATTGGTGATATCAATGTAAATCACAAAATACACATTCCTAAAATTGCTCACTAATTACTTTACCCAAGATTTTCTATTATCTTTTATTGCATTCATATGATATGATACATATTCCCTTTTAAATTATAAATATATACTTTATTTTCCCTTAGCCACTGAGGTTAGATATCAAGCGAAAACTGACCGCTCGGTCGGACAGGGTAAAGAGCGTGGACCTTCACCCTACAGAACCATGGATGCTCTGTTCCTTGTATCAAGGAAACGTTAATATTTGGAATCATGAAACTCAGACGCTGGCTAAAACATTTGAAGTATGTGACTTACCAGTTCGTACAGCCAAATTTGTACCACGCAAGAATTGGGTTGTTACTGGTTCAGATGATATGCAAGTTAGAGTATTTAATTATAATACTTTGGAACGTGTGCATTCTTTCGAGGCACATAGTGACTATGTCAGATGTATTGCAGTACATCCAACACAACCATTTATATTAACAAGTAGTGGTATGTGTATTAACTTACTTATTAAATTTTAATGATAATTTTATTTCTGATTAATTCCTTTTTTCTTCTTGTTAGATGATATGCTAATCAAATTGTGGAACTGGGAAAAAGGTTGGATAGCACAACAGGTGTTTGAAGGGCACACACACTATGTAATGCAAGTAGTATTCAATCCAAAAGATAATAATACATTTGCAAGTGCTTCATTAGACAGAACAGTGAAAGTATGGCAGCTTGGATCTTCCACAGCCAATTTCACACTAGATGGTCATGAGAAAGGTGTAAATTGTGTTGATTACTATCATGGTGGAGATAAACCATACTTAATATCAGGAGCAGACGATAACTATGTCAAAATTTGGGACTATCAAAATAAAACTTGTGTACAGACACTAGAAGGACACACACAGAATATTTGTGCTGTTTGTTTTCATCCAGAATTGCCCATCATTCTTACGGGTTCTGAAGATGGAACTGTTCGAATATGGCATGCTGGAACATACAGATTGGAATCTTCCCTTAATTATGGTTTTGAGAGAGTATGGACAATCGCTTGTTTAAAGGGCTCAAACAATGTTGCAATTGGTTATGATGAGAGTAGTGTTATAGTAAAAGTTGGTAGAGAGGAGCCTGCAGTTTCAATGGATTCATTAGGTGGCAAGATCGTCTGGGCAAAACACAGTGAAATACAGCAAGTGAACTTGAAAGCTTTGGGAGAGGAAACACAAGATGGAGAGAGACTCCCACTGGCTGTCAAAGACATGGGTGCCTGTGAAATTTATCCACAAACTATCCAGCATAATCCGAATGGAAGATTCTTGGTAGTTTGTGGGGATGGAGAGTACATTATTTACACATCTATGGCATTAAGAAATAAAGCTTTTGGTCAAGCATCGGAATTCATCTGGGCAGCTGATTCAAGTCAGTATGCTGTCAGAGAAAGTAATACCACTGTAAAAGTCTTCAAGAACTTCAAAGAAAAGAAGAGCTTTAAGCCTGATTTTGGTGCTGATGGTAAATATAATAATTATTTTTCAAATTGCCGTATTTCATTTACTAATATAATTTTATTAATTTATTATATTTATATTATACAGGTATTTTTGGTGGATTTTTGTTGGGCGTTTCTTCTGGATCTGGTCTATCATTTTTCGACTGGGACACGCTTAAGTTAGTTCGTCGTATAGACATTCAACCGACACATGTCTATTGGGCCGAAAATGCCTCTCTGGTAGCATTAGCTACATCTGATCAATACTTTATTTTAAAATACCATGCTGATGCAGTTGCAAATGCTCCAGAAAATTCAGAAGACATTGAAGATGCTTTTGAGGTTTGTCATTTTACCTGCCATTAATACCTACAATGAAGAAAGTAATGTTCTAAAACCCTTTAATATCATTTATAGATGGTAGCAGAAATGAGTGAAACTGTGAAAACTGGTCTATGGGTCGGTGACTGCTTCATTTACACAAATAGCGTAAATCGGATAAACTATTTCGTCGGTGGAGAAGTTGTGACTGTATCACACTTAGATAGACCAATGTATCTTCTTGGATATGTCCCGAGGGACAACAGATTGTATCTGTGCGACAAGGAACTGTCAGTTGTCTCGTATTCGTTATTATTATCTGTATTAGAATACCAGACTGCTGTTATGCGAAAAGATTTCGAGACAGCAGACAGAGTTCTTCCCACGGTTCCCAAGGAACATCGTACGCGAGTAGCTCATTTCTTGGAAAAACAAGTTCGTATTATTAAGACAATCTCTTGAGAATAAACACTCTGTTTATTTGAAGAATTAACATTTAAAATGCTGTAGGGTTTCAAAGAACAAGCATTGGCTGTGTCCACGGATCCAGAACACAGGTTTGAATTGGCTCTGGCATTGGGAGACCTCGTAACGGCGCACTCGCTTGCAAAGGAAGCGAATAGCCAGCAAAAATGGCGGCAATTGGCGTCTCTCGCCACTCAGAAAGGAAAATTGTGCTTAGCACAAGAATGTTTGCATCAGGCGCAAGATTTCGGTGGGCTCCTACTGCTTGCCACAAGTACAGGAAACGCGAATATGATTCAAAAACTAGGCTCGGACGCTAATGATATGGGCAAGAATAATATTTCTTTCTTGTCATATTTTATTCTTGGAGACCTCGACAAGTGCCAGGAAATCCTTCTAAAAACGGACAGAACTCCAGAGGCTGCGTTCTTTGCACGAACGTACGCTCCTAGTAAAGTTTCATCGATTGTAAAATTATGGAAGGAGAAACTCTCGTCTGTGAGCAAGAAAGCTGGACAGAGCTTGGCTGATCCTGAACAGTACGAAAACCTGTTTCCTGGATACAGAGAAGCGTTGAAGGTCGAACAGTTCCTTAGAGAGGAGAGTAAGAAGAAGGTTCCGGCATCTGCATTCCCGACTATGAAAGTAAGAATGGGTTTACCTTCTTTTTAAAAATTCTGAATATTTCAGTAATTTGTGATATTGTAAAACATAGAATGCGATTTCATATGTCTATTATAGCCGAATATCGAACGAAATCCATTCGAGGAGATGCTAGCGGCTGAGCAGGCGAATCGATTCACCTACAAAGCGGCTACAAGTACAACTGACGAAGCAGAAGAGTCAACCACCGAAATGATAATGAATAGGCTACAGGATCTCGATATTGGTAAGGTAATCCCATCGTCTACGGGAAAATCGAATTTTCCCGAGAAGATTACGAAGACCACCAGCAGCTCTAGACCATTAACCATGGACGAGGACGATCTGGATCTCGATCTTGAAATCGATGATACTATAGATACTACTGTAAGTCCATTGTGTTACTACCAATATGTGTTTCTTCTATTAGTTTTTCTTTTTTCATGCAACATTTTTTACCTTGTGCATGCTGTCCGTATATAAGTGCTTCTACATACACAAAGTAAGTGTACGCGCATAAAAGTACATTTACTTCTTTATTTATTTTATACAGACTTAATTATGTTGTGAAATAGAGTTATTTTAATTGGGATATCAAAATCATGAGGGGCCCTGGTAGGGGTGAATCGAGGTCAAACGGAAGAACAACAT